TTTTCCAATTAATTGCACCTTTAATTTTACATTGATGTCTATGGGCAGCACGCTTTTTTTTTTATCAGATATTGTATAAAGAAATTTGATTTCAAACAAATATTTTGATGAAAATATGCAATAACCCCCTCTTTATTAAACTATGAAACAGAAATGTTGAGAAATCTTTTCATCAAGGGCAATTAAACTCTTATAAAAACTTTTAATGCACAAAATGCCGGTTTCCTTACATATTATCAGTCTTGTAATTTTGGTACTTTCTCTTTTATCAATATCTAGCAATGTGTTTTCGATTAATTTAAAATCATTCAAAATCCCTTCATTATACATTATATACCATATTTATCTTTTTTCCTGGTTGCATGTCACGTTTTGAAGACTTTTTAATATCTTCAGGCAATTTCCAGGAAAAGCAATTTCAAAGAATTGTCGTCTCTCTGATTTTTGTGTCTTTGTGGGCGGCATGTCATTATAATAGCATATTGTGTCAAATACGAACGCCCATCATTCAAAAGTTATCATAAAATTTGTTTAATTTTGAAACTAAGTCAAACATGAAGGTCAAGTCAAGGGGCCAGAAATCATAAAATGATCGGAAATATATTGCACATGTCACACGCAGTACTGTTAAGGCTTCCCAAAGATAAAAATGCATCTAAAACGTAAAACTGCATTGCAAAGTTGATTTTTTGTTTTATTTTTAAGTTATGTACTAAAGTACGACCAATTCATATAGAGAGTTCTCTAGGCTATATATGAACATATTTGGCACAATATCACATGACCTTTTTAATCACGTGACGGTAATTTTTCTTTTTTGGAATGCTCTACATAAATCGCGTCGGCGCAGGTTATTAACACAATTACAATTAATTTTTTTTTTCTCACATAAATAAACTTGTTGGATCCTTGTGAACCCGAAATGTGCTTTTATTTGGGTACAATTTTTTTTTAAATTAACTTCAACTAACCGACAAATCTGAGGGTATTTTCTGCTGAATATTGTCAATTGTTTTAAAACAAAGCCATCATACATTTTCCCAAGCAGGAGTTAGTGAGAGGGAAAACTCCTCTTACATATTTCCGCAAAAGATATTAAATAAATCATCATTAATCACCTGTGCCAGGCTCTTTTAATACACGTATTATGAATTCTCTCTCTTTCCAAGGGTCTAAAAAAGGGCAAATGTCAAACGTATATTTTCGTACGTAATTTGAACACACTGACTCTTAAACAAGAGTAATAAAGCAAAGTTGTCTAAATTATTCGGTTATATTAAAATTTTGAAAAAAAATATAAAAACACGTTTATCTTAAAGTAGCATTCTGCATCTTTATATGCTGATTGCAATAAGACGTAAAGTTTATGACACTATCCCCATCATTACAGCTCAAGTATGCAGTGACTTTACGTCATTTTCAATTATACATTTGAAGTTAGAAAAATGTAGAGCCACTTTGGGCCTTATTTGGCCCTGAGAATTTCTGAAAATTCAAAACCGCTCAGTTTAGGTTGCAAATGTAGTATTTATCACTTGGAATGTTGTTGACCACGTATCTATTAATTGGGACGTAATTTCACATCTAGTCAATGCATTATGACGTCATAAAATGCGTCATTTTCCTCATATCCTGTAAATTTCTTTGAAAATGACCTAAAGTTGAAGCGTTTTTTCGATATTTCATATAGAGCACAATCTCTGATCCAAAATATGCCAATACATAATGAAAGGCCTATTTCTGAAGATCAAAAAACATGTTTTATTTTTTGGATCGTGGGCTGTGCTCATATTTTAATTCTTTACAGAAGGTAGTCAAATATGCATATTTTCTACAAATTTCAAGAACATTTTAATTTCTCAAAGCCTGTTTTCAAGTATTTTGATTCTCGAAACGAAATTCAATTATAGAACATAAAAGCACCAAGTGTCTATTTTATTTTGATATATGAAAATGGAAAGAGGGTGATAGTTTATTAATTGATATAAGTACAGGGCCATTTTATGCATAAGATGGCTCTTGCTCTCTGCATGCACAGAGTACACTACAATATTCTCTGGAAAGTCTTATCGTACCTCCACAGGTAATGCAGCTGTCAAATGTGAAAGTACTTTTCTCAATCAAACGTTATAAAAAAAAAATAACAGTTCAGGAATGTTAAAAAAAAGTTTATTTAGAAATGTTGTGTCACAGGTAATATACACAGTTAACACAAAAGCCCCATCACTTCTCAGTCAAAAGTTATGACCAAGGTTAAAGGTACATGTACACAGATTTGAAGTTAATATGACCTCTGTTCTAGAAATGTCAAATCTTATGATGATCATAATCAACCATAATGCACATGTAGTATATTGATAGCTGGTACTTACTTTTAAGCTCACTTGAAGCGAAGGCTTAAGTGAGATTTTCTGATCAAAATATGACCGTTGTTTGTCGTTGTCGTTGTCGCTGTTGTAATTTTTCACATTTTTATTTTCTCATGAACCGCCGGGCCAATTTCAACCAAACTTGGCACAAAGTATCCTTGGTTGAAGGGGATTCAAGTTTGTTCAAATGAAGCGCCATCCCCTCTTCCAAGGTGAGATAATTATGAATTAGTGAAAAAATAGTGACATTTGAAAAAAATCTTATTCTTAAGAACAATGTGAACAGGAAAGATGAAACCTATGCGTAAGCATCCTTAATTAGCGTAGACTCAAGTTTATTCACATAATGACCACCAGTGGTAGCATGGGGGCACAGTGGTGTATCAAAGTTTAACATAGGAACACATAATAAAAGTCTTTAAAATCTTCTTCTCAATAACCACTTGGCCAGGAAAAATGAAACTCACAATGGAAGCATCCTCAGGTAGTGTAGAGTTTGTTAAAATCCTGAGCCCCGGGGGTAGGGCGGGGAAACAATAGCTGATCAAATTTTTACAAAGAAATATATAGGAAAAAATCTTTTAAAATCTTTTCTCCAGAATCGTTGGGCCAGGAAAGTTGAAACTTATGTTGAAGCATCGTCGGGTAATGTAAATCCAAGTTTATACAAATTATGACCCCATGGGCTAGGACGGGGCCAAAATAGCTGATAAAAATTGTAAAAAGGATTAGATAGGAAAAGTCTTAAAATTGATCTTCTCAAAAACCACTGGACCAGGAAATATGAAACTCATACGGAAGCGCATCCTCTGGTAATGTTTATTAAAGTTTGTTCAAATCATGACCCCTAGGAGTAGGGCGGAGCCACAATGGCTGATCAAATTTTTTATTAAGGAATATAAAGGAAAAATCTTTAAAAAATCTTCTTTTCCAGAACCACTTGGCCAGGAAAATTAAAACTTATGCGGATACATCCTCAGGTACCGTAGATTTAACTTTGTTCAAATCAAGACCCCTGGAAGAACGGTGTTGCAACATTGGCTGATCAAAATTTTACAGAGTTATACACACTGTACATGTATATAGGAAAAATCTTTATAAAATCTTCTTCTCCAGAACCATTGGGCTATGATAGATGAATCTTATGTGGAATCATCTTCGTGTCATGTAGATTCTTATTTGTTCAAATCATTACCCTTATGAATAGGGCGGGACCACAATTGACGATCAAAGTTTTTCATATGTTCTTACAAAAAAATCGAGTCAGAGAGAGCACTTTCCTCTGGTTTGTTTCATACTTTCTTGTTGGCTGATTGTGCTCTTATCCACTGAAACAATGGTTAATATATATGCTTTGTCATATTTTGTGTTCATAATGCACATTTTTATTGATATTCAATTTGCAAAGAAGTTTTTCAGAGTAAATCGGATTTCATTCTCATTTCAGGTTCTACGTACAGTAACGCAGTCAGTTGAATCAAATGATCTTTATCATGCTCAGTTACATCTATTTAGAGGTTTCTTTAGTAAATTATTTAAAATGATTTTTTTTTAACTGTTTGTTTTGGTATGATTCATTTGTAGAAACTTTATAGTGTATCCCCCAAAATATTTATGACATAAGTTCAACAAAAATCCCAATCTTCTTGGGTACTAATTTGAGGTCTGTGCAAAATGATAAACAGTATACTATTGCGTTTGATATATTCACAATTCATGTATTTTTATTATCATTGCAGATTTAAAATAATACATCTTTTCAATATTTTTTAATGTCTGTAAAATTCATTGTTATTCAATTGGAATACTAGTATTACATTTTAAATTAAACATTTTATCTCATTTGTTTACAATAGCAAGCCGATTTATTGAGTAGGTCAATAACACACTGTATAATGTCTGACACGTCTCTATTTTGCAGTTATGAATGTGCTGAACACGCGGCCTTCTGCTTTGTTGAAAACATATATCACAATTTAACATACCCAGTAATACAAGATGACAAAACATGGAATTTTCATGTGATATCATTTGATTTATTGTATATAATGTCATCCTAATAGGAATTGGTCCCTTTAACCTAAACAATTAAAATATTTGTACATGTATGGTTAGTAATAGTTTATTGTAAAATTTCTTTGTAGGAAATGCTTGTCAGGACACAAGCCTTTAAACACAACCATCATTTAAGTCAATGGATTAACAATGATCATTTCAACAATATAAGAGACTGGCAATTTTTATCACTCACTGTGGCAGAAACACCTTAACAAACATTGAATTGTCCAATATCTTTGTTCATTGCTTTTACTCTTGATGTATGAATGTTGCAAAATATTTATGCGATTTATATATGAAAAACTGATAAATGTAAATTCGCTCGGATACCATGCGGAATTATCGTCACATGAAAATCGCATGAATTTTGCATAAATATTGTATGAGGGTATTTGCATAAAATTTGAATGTAGAACTTTCCGCATTTTTGTATCATTATCATGCGAAAAGTCATATGCATGAAAACCATGCGAGCCAATTTTCCCTAAGTACACGTGATACAACTCTTTCTAATTAATACTAGTGAGTTTCTCTCCTGCTCATTATTTTTTTTTCTCCCTGTTATACATAATCTCAACGATAGCATTGATTTCTTAAATTTGAATATACTCAATCTTAACAATTTGAAAAAAGTGAGTCTCCTATTCTTTTAAATGGAGTGAATAATTAAAACATATATAGAAGGAAAACGAACTACTGGTAGGTAAAAAAACGGGGTTCCTTTGGTTTTGAATAGAACATGATTGGGCAAGAATGGTTGTTCCTTTATAAAAAAAAAAAAAATGGAGAAGGTAATATAACCCCAAAATACGTCGACGATGAGCAAGCTACATATACATTTATGTGTTAACATTGACAATTCAAAAGAAGGATATGCATGTACCTATTGATATCATTGGACAACCACGAGAAATATCACAAACGTCTTTCTCACAATAACATTCCCTCTTGCACTTTTCTCCATAGTAAGGAAACGGACAGGACTGGGAACAGTTGAATCCACCATATCCTGGTTAGCATTCTAAACAAATTCATTTTCGAGATTTAAGGAACTGTTTAAATGTACGACTGTGAAAAAGTTTGATTTTAAAGGAGGTTGTTGATACCATTCAGTTATCAATCTTTATAATAAATAACTTCATGTTGGAACCGGATAATACGTAGAACCTACGAATTAAACTAACGGGAAAACCTAAACTCTTTTTGTTTGGAATATTTGTATATTTCATTTCAAAGAGGGCAAGTTAGTGATATAAAAATTCAAAGAAGTGCGTTTAAAACAAACTTAATTACTATGTTCGTTTACATATGCATTTTCTGCTTCTTTAGAAATAATTCTAATATGAACATGCTTGTCGGCCCCTGTTTTAGGTTTGGAGGACTCAGCAAGAGAAAAATTTTCATCTATACGTAGTTAAATTTAAAAATGTCAACATATTAATTATTCGTTTCACGTCGAGTTGACAGGCGTGGCTCATCAGATCAAACGAGACACGATACGAAACTTCGGATCAAGGTTATAATGATAAATTTGTCATTTTAATGACCTCTTCACAACTAGCTATATATACATGATATAGTGAAATTAATCATTAAAAATGAATTTTATAATATGTATATAATTAAACAAAGCTTAATGTCAAGGAACATTTTAATGCGAAAGAAAAATAGAATGAGGTATGAGCACAGGGTATATGTACTACATTTCATTAAAAGTTTCAAGTATACTAGTTAGACTTGTACTCTTCATTATATCTCTATCTGAATGTATAGGAATGCCTATGGTAGCATAGTCATTACTTTTACTTTTTATACTTACTTTCGCATTTCTGACTTTCATAATTCCATGTGTAATCTGGACAACAACCTTTGAAGTATCTTTTTGAAAGTATCAAATATTTAGTAAGTTCATTTTCTTCATTATTCGAGAAACAAATGGTACCGGGTATTTGTCAAGAATTCGTTTGATAAATAAAAAGAAATAATAAAGTAAATCAAAAACAAAACAAAAAACTTCGCACTTCTTTTCAATTAAGAAATGCATGAAAAGAAACATTATAGAGACTTATAGCTTCCAGGTAAAACTGGTTTATCTTTAAAAATTATATTTCTTTTCAATTTGCAACCAAGACCTTTCATAAAACTGCCTACAAGTCATATACTCACTGTTTACATTCTGGAGTAGATGAACAATTTGGATGAAATAAAATGGTTGCTAACAATAATGAAATGACGTTACGCAACGAATGATCCATCATATGTGAAAACATACTTGCACTTTGGTGATTGTGGGTATCACTGAATTCTAAATTCGGTTAAATTGTAAACTGATAAGGTTTTCTTCCTTTATCCGGTAATCTGAGAGAAAAACTTGAAAACACGGTTACGTTTATTGATGTTTATTTATGATTATTTTCTTTTTTATCAAAATACCATCTATAAATACATGATTGAAAAAAAATCTTGATCGTCTCCTTTTTTCCTTTCAATTAATTTGCACTGTCTAAGTGCTGTACATGTTTAATTTAGATACAACCGGAAAATTTAGGGAGTGACCTATAAACCTTAATTAATGGAATACATGAAAAGTGCTTTTCCGTACAATGCTCTTTATTAATCAGAGAAGTGCTACATTATTTCAAAATATGCTTTGAAGCAATGAGGTTTCAAAACTTTTTTTCGTTCACGAGGAAGTTTTTAAAACAGTTTAAAACGTTAAAGAGTTGTTAATCTTAATCTTGAAAGGTACTCACAAAAGACAGAATAAATCGTGTAAAACGAAAATTAAAAGAGAAACTTTTTTTCTAAAAGGTCATTGTGTCATCTAAATGTAATTGCCAACAATTAGTAATCATTGTTCCATATTCCAATTATCAATGTTAAAAATATTTTCACATACTTTAGTGTATCTTTTGATCTCATAGAATCTGTTATTGCTAATTTCTCGAATGTATAATATCTTTTGTAGGGTTATGTTTTGTTTTTCTTTTCCTTTTTTTTGCATTGATAATTTAACTTATTATGTTATTCTTCTTAGGATGTTGAAGATCCTTAACAACAAATTTGTAATCAGACAAATGAGAATGCACATTTCTGTGAGAAGATTTTTTTTTTTTTGCTTTTTTTTGTGTGTGAATTATGGACAACCTCTAATACTAGAAAAATAGCAATATATAAAGGCAATGCACTGCTAGGAGACAGATTCCATAGGTCGAGGTTCAATCCCCGGCTGTGGCGGAAGTGGGTATTCATGTAAAAGTGAATTTCTTTGTGCTTTCTATATTAATATGTCTTTACGTAGGGCAGTTATGTTAGTTTAAGAGTTGTTGTTATGTGTGCTTTATAAATACTAATTAATTTTATTACAACATGTATTGGTAACAATCCTCTGTTAAAACTAATGTCAAAATAACTGTATCTCACTTCTATTCGCAATGACCGTGTAGTGTAGGGCAGCGCCGCGAGAATTCCATCAGCTTCGAAAGCAAGTTTTATGACTTGCTTAGATAGTCGAGCGGTCAAGCGCGCTGTTCCTGCACTGCTAGGAGACAGATTCCGTAGGTCGAGAGTTCAACCCCGGACTGGGGCGGAAGTGGGTATCCATGTAAAATTGAATTTCTTTGAGCTTTCTATATTAATATTTCTTCACTTAGGGCAGATGTAAGAACCTACTTTTCTGCAGCCACCATGTATCATTCGGATGGTCATTTCGGCCTCCTTTGCGATCGAATGCTGCATTTCATAACATGTATATTCAAATGTATGCCCCCGTAAATGAAGTTTTGGTGGTACATGTGTATGTTTTTGTCCTGTCTGTCCGTCCGTCTGTCTGTCATCATGATTTAACTTTGTGTTACTTTATGAACACTTTTAAAGTCAAGTAGAACATATTATGAAAGATAGAACAATGTATGTTATAGATCCCAATGACAAAAATACCAGTTCAACGTGCACAACCTTTTTCCCTTTGCCCGTATTCGGCATTTGTTGGAGCATTTGCTCTAATATGAAGCTGATCCTACAGATAAAACCGTGGTGTTTACTGTGTTACATAAACATTAACACCAGTTGTGGGTTCTTCGGAAGAGACCACAAAACATTTTGTTATACCTTTAAAAATTAGTTCTTGTACAAATATATAGAAAACAAGCCTAACATTTCATGTTTTGCTGAGTTGGCATAAAACATCGATGTTGGACCGCTGTGCGAGACGTTGGACCGATTGAGGAGATGTTTTACAGTCTACTTCACAGAATGGATGGAGTGTCCTCTCATTTTCATTCATAGTTGTTCAACATTGACAGAACTGAGGTTATATCACGTAAGACAGATCAAATCAATGTTTTGTTTTTTTTTAAAAAACAGTATATAAATTATTTAAATTAACTTTGTTATAAGTCTAAAATTTTTAATGTTTTGCTGAGCGGGCATAAAAAAAATCGATGTTGGACCGCTGAGTGAGATGTTGGACCGCTCGGAGAGATGTTGGACCGCTTACGTCACAGAATGGGCGGAGCTTAATCTCATTTTTGGGAGTTGAACTATGTTCAATCTCCCATGGTCATCACGTATTTAACATGCGCAGTAATTTGTGTTGTTTATATAGAGCCGAAAGCGAGGCTACTGTGTCGCCCGATTTACTCCGATGATATTCAACAGAAAACATACATAAACATCCGCCACAAATAGTTCATGTCATTTTCTCCTGAATTGATCTAATTTTCATAATTTGAAATGTAAGTAAATGTAATGATAAAGTAATCTTATTTTGAATAGTAGATTTCGTTAAAAGTAAAACTAAATTATAAAAAACCTCAAAAGTTTTTCGTAATGGAACTCATTTTCAGTGTAGCGTCATACACTGAAGGAGATATGAACGACAACTCTACATACTGAACGGCAAGCGGTGAATCTAGACTTCTCGACACCTGGCGGTCCCGTATTCTTAGCAATATCTTTTTTACCGGTGCAGTGAATTTATTCAAACTTTACATGAACATTTATTTGGTTTAAATTAATTCATTAATGCATTAAAACTTAAGGAAATATGCGTATTTATTAGTAAATAAGCAGTATCACCTTCCAAAAGCGTTACATCTAGTACTCTGTTATGAATGTTACTAGTAAAACCAAAAACGGACACCCATGTTTTCGTAAAATGGCGATTAAAAGCAACAAAATGAAGTATATTTTTTTTAATAAAAGGAAAATCTCATTTACATACCAGATAATTTGTACGCACACAAACTCTCACATAAACCACTGTTTTTTATGTTTGGTCATTAAATATTTGTTTTTAACTTGGCATTGCTTTTTTCTTCACAATATTAAAAAAAGATTAAGTTCTGACGTACTCCATGTGTAATGTTCGTGTAACTGAAATACATTTATATTCACAGAGAATTTTTATATAACAAACCTGTAACCTCTTAAAAGGATGCTGTGTTAAAATCCACATTACATCAATATTGATATTATTCCTGCGAAACTGAAATTTTCATAACACATGGGTAAAGGTGCCAAGGAAAAATATATAACAAATTTGAAGACTGCATGTGAGCAGTGAATTCTATAAATGATCATCCGCCTCTAATATGAAAGTGTTTTGCAATGGGCAACCAAAATTATGTGTAGGATGAAAAAGTAATAGAAGGTGCACAACGGCAATATGTAATAAAGATTCTATGAAAATTTCGTTCAGTGGTGTAAGAGGAGTTACAGAACCTAAAGCGTAACAAACAGATGGACGGAATCCCCGATTAATAAATACCCTCCCGCTTTTCAAGCAGGGGGTATAAAAAAGGACTAATGTAGGCAGGCATGCATTGTGGCCCATCCATTTTTTTTTTTATTTATTTTTTTTTTATTTTTTTTTATTTTGCTATTCAATGTCTCTGAATGTCTTTCTCAAGATTGTTGCAACACAAAAAATTGAAACAGTTTATAGTTGTCTTTACTTGAAATAATAATATTGTTTACTCACTTAACCTCCCGATCAAAGATTTTATTATACACCATGTTCAACTCCCATGAGTGCGTTCAGTACTTTGATTATTCATGGTATTAAACATGGAACGATCTGATGTTACATCACGGAATAAAGCACAAAATACATGTAAATAAAAAATAAAATGAAAGGTATAACAAAACAATTATTGACAGAGTTCTCAGGCAAAATGCGTTTGTCGCACCCTCGAACCAAACTGTCTGCCCTCGGCCTAACGGCCTCAGGCAGACAGTTTGGTTCTTGGGTGCGACAAAACGCATGTTGCCCTCGAACTCAGTCAATAAATGTATAATGTTCTCGGGCAAAATGGGTTTTGTCCATCCTCGAAAAAACTGTCCACGGCTTCAGGCACACAGTTTGGATCTGGGGTCGGCGACAAAACGCATGTTCCCTCTAACTTAATTAATAAATAAAGCTACACAATCATCTCTCGTCCTTGTTCTGACTAGTTTTTTGTATGTTTACCGTTCACGTTTTCGACTTGACTGAAGCTACTGGTCTATTTCAACCAAATATATCAGATACGCATCCCTGCGTTTAGGAATAGGTGCTGTTTCTTCGATATTAGACGGATGAAATTAGTTAAGTTAAGCTTTTTAAAACTAGCTCATATTTTTTTAGTACTCAGTCTCAGTTTTTAAATGGAATTTATAGTCTGAGATCTACATTGAATTAATGGAAACAAATTTTGTCCTCACTAACAGAAAAAAATATGTAGAAATAGTATTTGTTTGTTAAAACTTTTTTAAGGAACCATTTCGCCAAATATTATTCATAAAAAGGGAAACGTTTTATGTTTCCAGCATTGTGGAAAATAAAAATTATAAATAAATGAAAATAATCCAGGGAAATGAGTTGGAACAATGGGTGACGTACTTTTTTTTTAATCTGAATAAATCATAACAAAATCCCTAAGCTTCCGCCTTAATGTAGATTCAGTGACATAATAAGTCTTAATGAATGGTCATCCTCAGGGAGTAAATATTCCATATAAATCCATGGCCAACTAGGCATTAGAGACCAAAATTCAATGCAGGTATCCTGCAGCTGTAGGGGATATCACCAATTCTTCAAAGCATGTTCCACGTTCCAAAGAGCAAGGACTTGAATAGAAATTTGAATTTTATTTTGATTAAAAAATGTAGAAATAAAATAATATGGGAAAGTGATACTATATTTAACGGAGACGCAAAGGTTCAAAGGTGTACTTATTGGATATATTTTACGGAAATTATGGTAACGGCGGGGGAGAAATTTGCTAAAAGAAGTGTAAGAAAATAAAGAAATGAATGTTTTCAAGTTAATCTTATCAAGAATGGTTGTACACGTACATGGTGATGCAGAAAAGTTTGTACTTATGGGTCCACTATTTTAATATAAGATCAACTGTAACCCTTACTTTCTTGTAATCTTGCATTTAATATTTTAAATGTTTAATTTTTATACATCTTAAAGGCCAGTAGTAAATGTTTAGTAAAAACAAAGGCAATCAAAGTCTCCTATTATTATTATTTTTTTGTTTATATATTAACTTAAAAAATATAGATTTTTCTAATAATATCTATATAAAAATAGAGGAA